CTATTGTACATTAGGGTTCAATTTGCTGTATTTAATTAGTTACAAGTCAGGTAGTGTGTGATAGTTTGTTCAACCCTACCGTTCTTAACTCTGCTTCAACCCTTTTCTTTTGCATTCTTATTTTCTAAGCATTGTGAGGTCAACTCTTTAATTTTTATTTTCAAAGCATTGTGATTTATTGATATTTATTCAATCTATGATTCACTACAATTTCATTGTTTAGGTGGACCATATTCACTGGTCGAATGAGACAAAATGAAACTTCTCTACTTCCTAGTCATAACAGAGTGAAAATTAACATCCATGGGAGGTGACATGGCAGGGTTGTTTTGGAAACCAAGTAGAGGTAGCCCATAGTGTTCTTCACTTCCTAGTCCTAAAATGACAAGTCCAGGTCCTAGCTCTAGAATCCATAGTGGGCATGACAGTGGACCACTTCATCCAAGGGCAGGGGGAGGGGCAGATCGGTCCGAAGATGTGAAACAGAAAAGTCACCGGTTACCGCTTCCTCCGGTGGTTAAAATTTCCAATTCTTTACCCTTCTCTCAGTCAAATTTAGCAGCCACTTCACCTTCTGTTCCAAGAAGTCCAGGGAGGCCTGAGAATTTACCTAGCCCAGGGTCAAAATGGAAGAAAGGGAAGCTTCTAGGCAGAGTGATGAAAAAGCTCTAGATGGATGAACGGTTTGATCTGAGCATGAGTGATATGGATTTAGTAATTTATCTATTCAGGTTATTCTTTTAGAAAGGAAATTGTCAAAGGAGAATTTAGTCATCAGTTTCTTTTAATGTTGTACATGTTTTGTTTTCTATAATAAATATTATGCAATATTAGCAATGTGTTACATTTACTTACTATTGGAATGATTCTTTGTATTTGACAATTAGTGCAATGAATATTTTATTGTTTCTGGTTTTGTTTTGTATTATTAGACTTTTAATGTGTTATTTAATTTGAAATTAAGTAAATCTATCAAAAATATATAATTTTAAAAACATTTAAAATTATGACACGCAAAAATGTGTGTCGTCTTATTTTATGACAGGGCTTCCTTGATACACTTTGCGTGTCATAAACACGCGTGTCGTAAGGTTACGACACACAAATGCGTGTCGTCTTCCTTTATGACAGGGGCTTCCTTGATACGCATTGCGTGTCATAACTGCGCGTCGTAAGTGCGTGTCATAAACGCGCGTCGTAAATGCGCGTCGTAAATAGACGACACACAAAAGCATGTCGTCTCTCGTTATGACAAGACCTTCCTTGACACGCATTTGCGCGTCGTCTTAGCATTTTACGACACGCATTGCGCGTCGTAAAAGACTGTTTTTCTAGTAGTGACTCTTTTTAAAGTGAAGACTCGTGAGGACAAATTTTAAAAAAATTGAAAAAAAATCTAAAAAATTACAAATCATAAAATCGAGCATAATACTACATCGGAGAGAAAAAAAATTGGATCATAAAAATTGAAGCATTGATAAAAATGATCAATGCTTCAATTTTTATGATCCATGATTCAATTTTAATGATACTAATTTTTTTTTTTCCAATTTTTTTTTCTCTCGGATATAGTACTATGTTCGATTTTATGATTTGTATTTTTTTTAGATTTTTTTTTCAAATTTCTTAAGGTGTGTATGTGTTATATGGATGAAAGCTCCAAGGAGGAAGAAGAGTCAAATATAAGTTTGTTTTCGTTAATAAAAGCAAATAGATAATTTATAATTTCAATAAAGCCATCTGGACATGGAGACAATATACGATTTTGATTTTGAGAAAGAAAAAGGAAAAGAAAAAGGTGGAAAGAGAGAAAAAGATTATTCATATATTCAAGTAATCGAATTGGAAAAAAGATATTTTTTTTGGTTATTTGTTTACTGATTTAAACTTTGGTTATTACGTATAATATACAAGTGTAAGAGGATTGTTGGGTATAAGTGTATAAGTATTTGCTATGATATATTTTAGATTGACTACGGATTTATTTAGCCAAATATCTACCTTAGTTGAAAATGCACATGCTTAAACTAGTCTTGACAACGTTTATCGGGTAAAACTATCACATCATGAAACGAAAAGATTTTCAATAGATCCAGTTTGGTGTTTTTCGTCTTTGTTGTTAGTCATGTACTAGTGTAATGTATTATAAAAGACAGGCTTCCACTTTTTTGGGTCCAAATATGTATATGATAATTAGCTTGGACCCTCCTAAACATATTCGATCAAAATTGTAAAAAACAATGCCTCTTTTTCGTTCCTGGTTATCTAAATTCAATTACAAGTACATTATTAATGCCAATCATGCCATTTTTCTTTAACAAAAAAGATCGATAATAAACCTAAATGCTTTAAATTTGAAGAATTACGTGAACTCTATTAAAATAGCGAATATCACATAAAAAAGCAAACACAATGTTAAAACAGACACTTTTATAAATTTAAAACGAAAAACTGGAGAAAAATACCAAACAAACCAATCCTTGCAACTCTGAAACATTATTATGAGGTTAACTGTACTAAACATAAATCTAAAAAAAAAAACATCTAGTAGAATCAAACGTTTTTTTCTTCCCCCTTTTTTTGTATTATTGATCATAAAAGCAATTCACTTCAATGGTAAAATGCTAGATTTAAGTTTGATGATTAATATTTAACCTCTAAAATGATCTAATAATCATACCTAACTCATCACTTATTATGCAAATCAAATTAATAGTTGATTGATTCATATTTAGGGATGCCAACCAGATTAAACATGGATGAATGTAGTTTCTTCCGCCGTGACCTCATCCTCGATCTTCAAGATCACCCTCCCACTCCCCCCTCCATTTTCTTGAATCTCATGTTAACGTTGTATGTCCCGAAATTCACTGTTTAAACTTCTTTAATCTATTTTCTACTCGTTTAATTTTTATAAGTTTTTATATTACACTAATTTTATATATATATATATATATATATATAAATATATATATATATATATATATATATATATTACATCTAGTAAAATGTTTAATTAATAAATAAAAATAGTTAAGTTATGGTATTATTTTGCCCGCAGGGGTGTTGGGTAGGACGGTGATCCCCGTCTGCGGCTCATCCTTATAAACTAAACATGTAAAACCCGTCTCACTCCAACCCCAAACTTGAACACGTAAAAATACAATCATATAAAAACATCTCATAGGGCATTTCAACACCGATATTCACATTTATTTACCCAAATGATAATCCTTATATGATTTACTTAAAGATTAATTACATGTTAAAAATATAAATGCACCTAATTTTATTTTTACGAATTTATTTTCAAAATTAAAGTTTAAAACTTATAATTAGGGTTTTGAATTAAGTAAACAAATGATGATTAATGAGCTAACTAATATGTTTAAGCACATAAATATTTACTTTAAAAATATTTTCATTAAATTGAACGGTCTAAAAAACTTTTACTTTACTTCAAAACTGATAAAAGAATCGATAATGTTAATGGACCAAATAGAAGAACATAAATGTCCAAAGGTGACATATAGGACAACGATGGATCATCACCGTTAATATAACCAATTGTCGTTACCATTCTCCGCCGTACATATACACCTTCCACTTCCCTCTGCCGGTTCCCTCTCACACGGAACAATGGCGGCACCACCGCCGTCGCATCTGCATACCATACTATCTATCTTCCTCTTCCTCCTCCACCTCTCTCTCCTCCATGCCACTCTGCCACCTAGCAACCACCCAGACCTAGCTCCATTACTGTCGTTCAAATCGTCCTCAGACATCTCAAACAAGCTCTCCTCCTGGAAAAACTCATCGAACCCATGTGACAAGTCCTCGGGCTTCTACGGCGTCTCATGCCTCCATAACCGAGTCACCGGACTCGTCCTTGAAGACCTTAATCTACATGGACAATTCGACTCACTCACCTCCCTCGTTAAGCTTCGTGTCCTCTCTCTGAAACGCAACCGTCTCGTCGGTCCAATTCCCGATCTCTCCAATCTCACTTCTCTGAAACTGCTTTTCCTATCTTATAATCAGATCTCCGGCGAGTTCCCGCCATTGTTACCCTCTCTATTCCGTCTCGATCTGTCCCATAACAACCTCTCCGGCGGTATTCCGGCTACACTCAACCGTTTGACTCAATTGTTGACTTTACGTTTAGAGGAAAACCAGTTTTCGGGTTCGATTCGGTTTCTGAATTTATCGAGTTTACAGGACTTTAATATTTCTATGAACAACGTTTCCGGCGAAATACCTGCAAGTCTTTCGGGGTTCTCCGATTCCGTTTTCTTAAACAACTCGGTTTTATGCGGATTCCCACTTCTCCGATGCAAGGAACCCGAAATACCCTCTGATGTGTCGTCATCTCCGACCTCCCTGCCTTGGACGGCGGCAGTGCCTAGTAATAAAAAATCTGGAAATAACAAGATAAGTACTCTCGCCATTGCAGCCATTATAATCGGAGATGTTTTGGTACTGGCATTAGTGTCGTTACTACTGTACTGCTATTTCTGTCAGAAATCCGGCGAAGAATCGATAAACGAGAAGAAGAACGTTCAGCAAGTGGAGAAGACAGCGTACCCAACTCCGCCGGTGAGTTCGTTCGAGAAGGGTAGAATGGTGTTTTTTGATGGAGCGAAGAGGTTTGAACTGGAGGATTTGTTGAGAGCGTCGGCGGAGATGTTGGGTAAAGGTGGGTTAGGGACGGCGTACAAGGCGGTGTTGGATGACGGGCATGTGGTGGCGGTTAAGCGGCTGAAGGAGGTGGTGACTGGTGGTAAACGTGAATTTGAACAGCAGATGGAGGTTTTAGGGAGTTTACGGCATCCTAACGTCGTTAGTTTGAAAGCTTATTATTTTGCAAAAGATGAAAAATTGCTTGTCTACGATTACATGACTAACGGCAACTTGTTCTGGCTTCTTCACGGTACGTTATTTCTCCGTTAAAATTTTGTTTTAAGTTGAGAATATACACAAACATCCAAAATGTTTATGTTAATTAATTTGTACAAAAAATTGAAACAAGATAATCATTTAAGTGATCATAACATAAATTATTTTTTTAATAAAAATAATATAATTCATATTTATAAAAAATCTTTGTGTTATGTTTGTCATGAAAGTGAAGTGTTGGTTATGGTCCTTGGTAGTTAGCTGTCGATGGTGATTTTTATTTTGTTGTTATTAAGATAAATTATAAATATTTTTAATGTTTTAATGTTTGTACTTTGTACTGAGTTAAAATGGTCCACGTTCAGAAAAAGTAAAAAACAAATAAAGACGATAAGTAATTAATTAAAGTTCGCTTGAGAAATTAATGAACCTTCCAAACGAAGAGAAATTATATGCCAATGATTATACGTATATATAATTTCTTACTACAATAATTAACCATTTTAATTTCAATCATGTTATTGTTTATGTTTATTATTTTGCTTTTAAAAGGATCCATGTTAGTATTACTTTTGGACTTTTCCTCATTTCCATACGATTCGATCCGAATGGTGTTGGTATGATTATGTCTGTCTTTGTTAAAATTTAATAATTTGGTAAAGTTTTAAAACGGAAGTATTGTGTCCGTTAATTACTTATTTAGGACGGGTCAACCGATAACTTTTTTTTATAGTGGCCATATGAAAGAGTTAATTACAAAATCTTCGGGGGGGCAGCTGCAAACTCTGTTGTTCTTTTCTCTAAATCACCAATTTTGGTGATTTATCCCTTACGACCCCTCATCTTTCACTTTTTATTTCTGTGTCCCCACACGCTCACAGTCACACACTCTCTTTTTGTCACTATTCTGTTATACGTTATTTCGGGAATCCGAATTATGAAAGGAATGGGAATAATAACAGTAAATTAAAAATCATTATGACACATCAAATCTTTTAAAATATCGACAGAAATGAACATTGATATCATTTTTATAACACGTATAAGTTATTGGTTTGATTGCTATTTTCCAAAAAAAAAAAAAAAATCCATATTAGTTTTCTTTTATGTAGTTTTTTTATATATTCTAAAATTCAGTTAATATATTTCAATATTTTTATGGATTTTAACTTCAATAAAATTTATATATCTTATCCTATGTTTATTGTTTATTCATCCAAAACCGATGTGGCTGAACGCCTGAACCCCAAAACTAAAAACTCAAAATCACGAAGAGAATATGAACAGTTTTTTGGGTTCACAATAATACATTCGATGAATACAAAATAAAAGGAAATTAAAATTCAATAATCTATTTTATTTGCTATGTATGAAATAGGAAACAGGGGCCCAGGAAGAACACCATTGAACTGGTCAACAAGGCTGAAGATAGCAGCCGGAGCTGCCAGAGGCCTGGCTTTCATTCACACCACCGGCACCTCCGTTAAACTCATCCACGGCAACATCAAATCCACAAACATCCTTCTCGACAAATCCGGCAACGCCTGCGTCTCCGACTGCGGCCTCTCCTCCTTCACCCCTCCAACTGCCGCCCCAAGATCCGCCGGCTACCGTGCACCTGAACTATCAGCGGCCGGCAACAACCGTAGTAAGCCCACTCAAAAATCCGACATTTACTCTTTCGGGGTCCTGTTAATGGAGCTTCTCTCCGGAAAATGCCCATCCAATGTGGACGGTAGTGGGGTTCTGGACCTGCCACGGTGGGTTCAGTCGGTGGCGAGAGAAGAATGGACGGCGGAGGTGTTTGATTTGGAGCTGATGAGATACAAGGATATTGAAGAAGAGATGGTCCAGCTGATGAACATTGCTTTATCATGTACCTCAGGTGCAGTGGATCAACGCCCTACCATGGAACATGTTGTGAAAATGATCGACGACATAGATGGAGCTGAGGAGATGTCACCGCGGAATGACTCCTTTGACTTGGTTTCTTCTAACTCGCCTTCGGTTATCGAGACGTGATGAGTCAATGGTTAGTGTTCTTGACAACAAATTAAAATTGTTTTATTATTTTTTGCTCAAATTGATGTGATGTGATGTAAGTTTGCTTTAATCAAATCCTTGTTGATTAATTATTAAATATTATTAAATTATCTTGTTTTACGTGTGATACGTTCGTTATACCCTGTTACATTGGCATATCACGATCACACCATTTCACTAAAATCCTCCCTTCATCACAGTCGACAAAAACATGATGAGTGTCTTCTTCATGTAAGCCACAAACTTTACTAAGAGTAGGCGAAATATCCAACCCTCTATTAATCAAATTGGAACAAGTTGGAAGTTTATTCAATCTACATCTACAATAGAATAAGTTGACTTTTCTAGGTAAGTACTTGTTTCATCTAATTTCAATCAACCCGTTTGGCAAGATAATATCATCTATAAATTTCTAATTGCACTTATAGTGAACAGTGATATCACCACTCAAATCCTAAATCCACGTATCATGAGTATGACTAAGTTGCACACCTTGAATGGTTTCTATCAACCCCTTCATTTGAATTTCTTCAGCCCCACCCCTTATTTCATGTCTCCAATTCCATTGCCATCTATCGCCCACACGTCTATCTTTAATGATGCATTCTTTTTTCCATTTCCAGTAAATGCACAGGATATGATAGGGGTGGAATTGGTACGGTACCGAGTATTTTTTTCCCAAGCCGTGTACCGTACCAATTATAATTAGTATGTAATTTTAGTTACCACTACCGTACCAAGTACAGTTGGTACCAATTTAATTGGCTACCAGTAAGTTCGGTTGGTACACGTTGGTAATGGTATATACCAACATGTATGAGTGTTTTTGGAATTAAGATTTATGTGTTATTGTGCACTTAAAAGATAAATGTAGGTTTTGTAAATAAGAGTTTTCTGAATGGTTGAATTGGAAATTCGATAAAAAAAAGATTTTATAATTTTGTACCATGAGTTTAAACTAAACAATAGAGTTAATGAGATATGTTAATATGAGTTTAAACTTTAAAAGCTACTAGACGGTAAATGCTAATATCAAAGCACTTGAACTCTTAACCGTCAAATACATTTAAAGTTAAAATATATTTTATATATATAAAAAATAACTTGGTTGGTACGGTAATACCGTGGTATTTAAAACCTTGTACCATTACCGTACCATTATTAATTAATTGGTACGGTACTACCAGCCAAACATGTTGGCTACCAACATAATTGGTTGGTTTCCATGATACATATTTGCCACCCCTAAGATATGATACACAAGAAAACATATAATCAAGGATTAGGAGATAAAATGATCAAGCACAACTGTTATTATACTTTTGATTAAAACAACCTCTTGTCGAAAATTACAACCATAATTTTTTGAACTTTATGAGGTGTTTTTAATGGTGGTGAACGAATACTAATTTGGAGTTTCCACATAGCCGCCTCTAAAAACATTGGGTATGAGCAACATGTTATAACATCATTTTGGTGTCACCTCAAATATCACACCATCCATGGTGTTATAACACCAATTGATGAGATGATCACCATGTTAACATGTTATAACGCCCACTAATTTTCATTATATATATATATATATATATATATATATATATATATATATATATATTTGTATTTTTTTGAGTTTCTTTTTTTTATTAAAACAGATATATTTTATAAAACATAATATTTAAAAACTTAAAAAAAACATAGCATTTAAATTAGACATAACATCGAAATTAAAAAAAAAATACAAGACAAAAAAGTACGTAATTTATATTTCCTAAACAATGCTATTAATCATCGTTACCGTCGAAGATATAACCCGTCAAGTCTTCTCGAATTTGTTTGTGTTTATTTGCGTCCTAAATTTCAACCACTTTATGTAAATATTCTGTTGTTTCCGGTTAAAATTGATTATGTCTGGGCTTCGTTGGTATATAGCAAGGTTGTAGAACTCACTATTCGGTACCTGTTCGGCCGACTGCTTAGTAGCGAGTACTCGGGAGTACTCAGGGAGTACTCAGATTCGCTAATTCATGTATAAATATTTTTAGAGAAGTTATATATGTCAAAATCATAAGCTAAAATTATTAGTTGATTGAAATATATAACAAAATTAGATACATGTTAATATTCAAAAACTAAAAACACATAATGGTCTCACTTTGTGAATAATTACTGAACATTTAAGATATATATGTAGAAATAATCACATGTGTGTGTTATATAATAAATCATTAAGTATATTATACATATTAATCACCGAGTTAGCCGAGTTTTACAACACTACTCGCTTTAGTAAGGGGCTGATCGGGGAGTACTCGGATTCTATAACTCGCTTCGGTAAGGGGCCGAGTAGGGAGTACTCAGCCGAGTAATCGGCCAACTCGGCGAGGTTTACGACACTGGTATATAGTGTGCAATATTCCATCATTTATCTTCTACTGCCATGTTACACATTATGATACATGCATACATAATATATCATAGAGTTTCTTAGTCTAATGGTCATGTCGCATGTTCAACTATGTATCACTTTGACTTTAGAACTCCAAAAGCATGTTCCACATCCTTATGTGCTCCTTCTTGTCTTCTCTTAAATAACTTATCTTTTGCTTCAACTGGGTGTCGGAATGCCTTCACAAATGTCGAATACAGAGGATATATTCAATTTGTAAGGTAATACCCAAAAATGTATTTGTTTCCATTCACTGTGAAAGGAGCATTCAGTACCTTTCCTGAAAAAAGGTCGTCGAATATTAGTGACTGATCAAGAACATTGACGTAGTTGTTGGAACCCACAACCTCAAAAAATGCATGACAAATCCATAAGTATTGGGAAGCAACAACCTCTAAAACCAAAGAATGTGATCCATGATGACCACTTGCATACTACCCTTTCCATGCTACTGGACAGTTTATCCGTTTACAGTGTGTGCAATGTAACACCCGATTCTCAGGTATATTCTTCATGTCTTAAAAAAAATTAATTATTTTGGAAATAATGGCTCTACGCGGGGTGTAGCTAGCCAAGTTACGCAGGGTGTAACTCATTACTTGAACACGAGGACTTAATGCCCTACGCGAGGTGTAACCGCATAGGGTGTAAACCTTAATTTCGGGGTCTTGGACTGTAACATCCCAAAAATCATAAAAATTTAAAATTTCTAAAAACAACCCATTCAACCATAAAGTGTTTACAAAACCATTGTTTCAAAAGTATAAACACAATCAGAGTTATTCCCAAGATCCAATATCATAAAAATAGGAAGATGTGCACGATCACGCCTTCGCTTTTCCGCGATCATCAGAAGTACCTAAAACAATAAACTGAAAATGTAAGCAAAAGCTTAGTGAGTTCCCCAAAGGTACCAACACACACAACATATAACAACATATACTGGGTCCACAACTAACAGACTGGATTACCCCTAAGCCCACAGTATGAGTCTGGCTTGCCTTTCAAGCCTACAACTTACATCTGGCTTGCTCCCGAGCCCACAACATAAGTATGGCTTGACCTTCAGGCCCACAACTTATGTTTGGCTTGCTCCGAGGTTTTTTAGCTACCGCACAAAGCAGTACTACCTCAACCCAACCAAACTATGTCGACATATACATAACATATAACATATATCCAGTGAACAGGTAACATATAACCAATCATCAAACAAACAAGCCGATCTACATTTCACTACCGCATAGAAACATCCCAGACCTGGATTCATGATCTACTGGGCCGACATTCGTGCCTTCGACCCCCAAGTACAGTGAGGAAGACTCACCTCTTAGTCTGAACAAATAGATGAATAGATCTCTGCTCTGAATCTTGGCTGTACCCGCTACCTATACAACAGATAGGGACCAATCTCAAATAAAACATAAAATACCCAAAATACCCTTAGGTCAACTTTGTCAAAACTGGTCATAGGTCAAAGTTAAAAGTCAACCAACAGCTGACCGCCACGATGTGTCCTTCATTGGCCACGTCGTGGCCATAAAATGCCAAATCAGACAAGCCTTAGCCCATTCGCCATGCCGTGGTGATCCAAACCACGTCGTGGTCACTGCTTCTTGAACCTCTTAATGGAATAAGCCGATTTCTTCGATCTCAGGGGCTCCAAAGCCCAAATCTGGTCTATTTTGGGATCTAAATGGATAAAGTTCCAAGTTTATCCCTTAGGTCCCTCCAATGTGTAAGGATCTCAACTTCTAGGTTCAAAAGAGCAAAAACCCAACATGGCTTAAACATTAAGCTCCTAATCCCTAAAGTCCTTTTGTCTAAAACTCAGTTTTGATCCCAAATAACATTCTAAGTCATAAAGTTTCTAACTTTATGACCTTGCATGGCTATAAAGTTTCCAAATAATAAACCCTAACATTTCATAATGCTACAAGTCACCAAATGCATGCATGGAGGAAAGGAAAGGGTCAAGATTCTATTTTTATAACTCTAAACACCCCAAAACGTCCAAAAAGGCAACTAATTTGGTATTGAGTAGTCCATACTCATATAGGCCAAAAATATGGGACTAAAAGCACATACTTTCTAACATTATCAAGATCTAGAGAGATAATCATCAAGTTCCAAACTTTATACCTCCTGGGGATTGCTTAAGAAGTGTACAACTTAGATCTACATGGCTTGGAGCTCCCTTCGTGCTTTCCAATGGCTTCCTTTCCTCTACAATGGACACCAAACACCAAAATAAGCTCAAAACACCACAAATGGAGATTAGGATTTGAAAGGAACTGAGTGGACAATGGAGGCTAATGAGGGTAAAAGGTCTTGAGGGTTAATGATGCTTAAATAAGGTGCAAACCCTAATGAGGGTAAAAGGTCTTGAGGGTTAATGATGCTTAAATAGGGTGCAAACCCTAAAAATTAGAGTTTTTCTCCAACAGCGGATACCACACCGTGGTGGTCCATCAAAACCCGCGACCCAAAAAAGAATTATCACGTCGTGGTGGAACTCCACAACGCTGTGGCCACCCAGAAAACATAAATCATTGAAATTTAGATTCATGCCTAGAATGGGTGTTACGATTCTCCCTCACTTGAATTAGACTTCATCCTCGAAGTCCTCAGCTGCGAATAACTCAGGGTAATATTCCCGCATCTCAGACTTGGGT